GTTGATATCGTCAATGCTTATGCAACTCCAATTGGTTGGGTCCGTTATCTGCCAAATTAGCAGAGACAAACGCAAGCCTAGCTACGCTAGCGTTGGTGACTATAAAGAATCGGAAATACTACCATCTCCAGATCGATGAAGGAGAAATGTTATGTAGTTTTTGTATTGAAGCCTTAGGATTTAGAGAGTGATGCCACAACATGACCATCTTAATGGCGCTTTTTCACACTGTTTTCGGCGGAATGTCAGAAAATTCTGCACACGAATGAAAATTGTTGAAGAACAACTGCGCGTAGCAGCCCTGAAACATGAAGGTTACTGGCATCGGCGGATCAACTTCGTCGTCGGTTGATCAACATGGGGGTTTACCAGTATAGACCACCAAGTAGTAGGATCCCCTGATACTAGGGACCCCAATAAGGCACGCCTAGTATCGTAAACCCCCCACATTAGGGTGCGGGGTTTAGGGTTGTCTACTCTTGAAGATAGGAAGAGCATGGCAAGGAACACGCAGAACCAACATGGCCACGCCGTTCATTAGGGATCTGCAGTCGAAACGCCGCCGGAGCTCGTGCCATGCAACCCGCATCCTCAACATCAGGAACAGGCGCCGAAAACCCTGCAGTCTACCGTACAGCCTACACCCCGACACGATTTGGGGCTGTCCGGAGATAGGGGTACCTTGTTGGGGAGTCCCTCTAAGGGGATTCTATTCTATTTAAGGGTATAAAAGGGGGTACCCCTATTTTGGGAAGTCGCCATTTGGAGGGGCAGAGTTCATGAACCATGGTATTCTGGAGGTTCCGGTTCTCCCGGGATCGAACTGGGGCCGATCCGACATCCTGGCCTTTCAATCTGTAAGAATTTTCGCGGGCAATAGGGTTTAGGGTTCACCCTAAACCCTAAACCCTAACCCCTAAACCCTGCAAAACTCGTGGTGAAGGCTTTGGAGGGGCCTCGGGCCCCTGCCTGAACCTGTGGTTTGGGCTTTAGGATTCTTAGGGTTTCTAGGTTTTTTTTCGGGTTTTCGGGGGTTACGCGGCTGGGTCGAGTTTAGGGTCGGTTTAGGATTTTGGGTTCCAGGGCGGGCAGGAGTGGAAGAAGTCTGAGTGACTAGTGCACCATCGGGTCTTCTGCTTTTAGGCTTTATTTAGGGTTTAGGGTTTAGGGTTTAGGGTTTAGGGTTGAGGGTTGAGGGTTGAGGGTTGAGGGTTGAGGGTTGAGGGTTGAGGGTTGAGGGTTGAGGGTTGAGGGTTGAGGGTTGAGGGTTGAGGGTTGAGGTTGAGGGTTTAGGGTTTAGGGATGTTTAGGGTGTAGGGTTTAGGGTTTAGAGCCTCAGGCTTTGATTGCTTTTGAGCCTGTACCTGACCACCCTCTCTTCGAGAGAGTAAGAGAGGCGCCTGCCAAGCGAAACTCATTCCGGCCCGACACGCCTCTTCCGCATTGCAACCAAGGCCATCTCAAGTTGGTTACCCACCCTAAAACCCTAAACCCTAAACCCTAAACCCTAAACCCGAAACCCTAAACCTTTAGGGCAATGGCTTTGGGGTTCAAGGCTCCTGAAGGGCACGTTGGCTTCAACACTTGAGTGCTTTGACCGGGGGCTCGAAGGTTGAAGCGTATCACGGGCGATGACTTGAGAAGCCTGTGGCCCAAGAAAGAAGCGGGTTTAGGGTAGCTTAGACCGCCAATACGCCAGGTCTACAGTGTCGCTTCTAGCCGGGTTCTAACCGGTTCTTGCCGAGTTACACCCTAAACCCTAAACCCTAAACCCTAAACCCTAAACCCTAAACCCTAAACCCTAAACCCTAAACCCTAAACCCTAAACCCTCAACCCTAAACCTCATGAGAGCCTGCTATGTTCGCTCAACTTGATGAGGTTCGGATTGTTGCATGGCATCCTGAGCCCCCAAGCCCTAAAACCCCCCCCCAAGCCCTGGACCCTAAACCCTAAACCCTAAACCCAAAACCCCCCCCGAAAACTGCCCCCAAAACCCTCCACAACCCCCATAAACTCCCCCAAAACCCCCCCTAACCTCTACATCCCCGGAGCTCCCTCAGAGGCTTGTTGAGCCCCATCTGGGCCCTTGCGTCTACTTCTTCACGGCCCGCATCATGCCGTAGACCATCAGGCCACTGACCATGGACTTGTGGAACTTCTCCAGGGTGTAGACCTGGGGGGTTTAGGGTTTAGGGTTTAGGGGTTTAGGGGTTTAGGGGTTTAGGTTTTAGGGTTTTTAGGGTTTTTAGGGTTTTTAGGGTTTTTAGGGTTTTTAGGGTTTTTAGGGTTTTTAGGGTTTTTAGGGTTTTTAGGGTTTTTAGGGTTTTTAGGGTTTTTAGGGTTTTTTGGGTTTTTAGGGTTTTTAGGGTTTTTAGGGTTTTTAGGGTTTTTAGGGTTTAGGGGACTTAGGGGTTGAGGGTTTCGGTGTCTCTGCTCAAGCACCAGCGTTTTGTGTCCTCACGCCCCTGTGAGGCACATCTTGTTGTGACCTGGGGGTTTAGGGTTTTGGGGGATTTAGGGTTTTTAGGGGATTTAGGGGGTTTAGGGAGTTTAGGGAGTTTAGGGGATTTAGGGGGTTTAGGGGATTTAGAGTTTAGGGGATTTAGGGTGTAGGGTTTAGGGGGGGACTCAGGGTTCAGGGGACTTAGGGTTTGGGGTTTAGGAGATTTAGGGTTTGGGGTTGAGACACGGGTCTTCAATCAGCATACTTACTCGGCTTCATGGCAAGATTAGATGGAAGCCTTCTGCAGACCTTTATTGGGTCCACAGGGGGTTGGAGTGCGAAAGTTAAATATCTTGGTTTAGGCTCTTCTTCAAATGGCAGTGTACCAAGAACCCAGAGTCAAAAGAACCGGAAAACGCTAAGTGAAAGCGTAGGCGGCTTCAGAGCCTACGGGGCTGAGGTCCTCAGGGCTTCAGAAGGCTTAAGGTTGCTTTTTGGGATCCTGAGCGAACTTTCAGGATGCTGCGCCTCTCTAAGGGTGGTGTTTATGGGCCTTCATATGGTGCCCTAAGCTCCTTTATAATAAATAATATATAATCTAATATATAATATAATATAATATAATATAATATAATATAATATCGTATAATATAATATAACGGGTTCTGCTGAATGGGCCCCTGGGTTGTATAGGGTATATGAGGGGTCCCCTTGTAAAGGCCCGTGCTGAGGGACCATGACTCTCCCCTTAGCGCCTCGGGTTTAGGGCCAGCTGGGCGTTGACCGATGGCTCCCACCGGACACACGCTCCTTGAATAAATCAAAGCGTCAAGTCTACCCTAAACCCTGAACCCTACACCCTAAATCCAAGACCCTTCAAATCGGCTTCCCGCATTGCCCTAAGCCGATGGCCAAGTCCTCAACCTCAACATCTTTGGGTTTAGGGTTTACAGGGCGATGGTTCTGGAGTGCTAGGAATTGCCTGCAACATCTGCCAGGGTGGGTTTTAGGGTTTAGGGTTTGCAGGTTTTAGAATTTGAGGGTTTTAGGTTTTGGCTTCAGGGCTTAGGACGCTAGGGGCGGGGGTCATTCTCACCCTGCACACTGAACTGACCCTTCCCGCGAATGCCTCGCGCAGGAAACCAATGAATGCACCGGGGCCTTTCCTGGCGCAACCACGCAAGGCCGGTTATTGGGAGAACTTAGCCTCATCTCCTGTCCACCGCAAGACAAGCCCCAAGCCCCATCCCTTAAACCCCCCACCCTCCCTCCTATCCCAACGATCATGCAACAATCATGTGCCACAAAGACACGACCAAAAAACCCTCAACCCTAAAGCCTCAGCCCTAAAACCGCACTGTCCGCGACGTCTCGGGTTTTGGGGGACTCACAAACGACCCTAAACCCTAAACTACGGCGGGGGGGGGGGGGGAAGTTGGGGGGGAGGGGGGGGGTGGAACTGTAGACCCCCAAACTCCCCCTGGGTGTGGAACCGGAAAACCCCCAAACTCCCAAGTCGCAAAACTCCAAAGCTCTAAACCCTCTGCCGAGGGTCAGGGTGTAGGGCTTAGGGTTTAGGGTTGAGGGTTGAGGGTTCGGGGCTTAGGGCAGTGTGACGCTTGCCCAGACAACAGACTGAAATGTTCAAGTCCTAGTTAGTGTAATTCTCAGGAATGTCAGGAGCCCCGTCGTATCCGTCAAAACGCCACCTTGAATAGAATCTTCCACAGAACCCTATACCACAAAAAAACTGGTACGAGAAACAACCCTAAACCCTAAACCCTCAACCTTAAACCCTAAACCCCAAACCCTAAACCCGAAACCCTGACCCTACATAAACCCTAAACCCGAAGCCCTAAACCCAAAGCCCTAAACCCTAAACCCCAAACCCTAAGCCCTAAACCCTAAACCCCTCGAGCCTCAAGGTGACTTTGATCCAGTACCAGGGCGACCAAACACCGACCTTGGCGTCTCTTGCGGCTTGAGAGTTTTGAAGGCCTTTGGAGGGCTCTTGGGGGGTTTAGGGTTTAGGGTTTAGGGTTTAGGGTTTAGGGTTTAGGGTTTAGGGTTTAGGGTTTAGGGTTTAGGGTTTAGGGTTTAGGGTTTAGGGTTTAGGGTTTAGGGTTTAGGTTAGGGTTTAGGGTTTAGGGTTTAGGGTTTAGGGTTTAGGGTTTAGGGTTTAGGGTTTAGGGTTTAGGGTTTAGGGTTTAGGGTTTAGGGTTTAGGCCCCTCTAAAAAGGGAACAAGGGCCTTCTCCAGGTCCTGGCAGAGGTCTGTGCTGAGGCCCCCTGGCTTCTCAGGGCCGCGCCCACACGGAGTGGCGCCACGCCGGCAGCGTCTGCTCAGTCCAGTCAGCCGTGTCGACCTGCGGTGGCTCGCGGCTTTTTGGAGCTTCAGGTGCCCCCAAACCCTAAACCCTAAACCCTAAACCCCAAACCCCAAACCCTAAACCCCAAACCCTCAACCCCAAACCCCAAACCCTAAACCTCAAACCCTAAACCCCAAACCCTAAACCCTAAACCCCAAACCCTAAACCCTAAACCACTCCCCCTTGGACTCGGGCCTCCTCCAGCAGCTCAGTTCCTTCCAGGTACTCCTGCGAAGGGCCGACTTCGGGACTTTAGGGATCGGAGCGCTTAGGGATTTAGGGCTTTAGGGTTTAGGGTTTATAAGGGTCTAGAAGGGTTTAAAAGGGTTAAAAAGGGTTTAGGGTTTAGGGTTTAGGGTTTAGGGTTTGGGGTTTAGGGTTTAGGGTTTAGGGTTTAGGGTTTAGGGTTTAGGGTTTGGGGTTTAGGGTTTAGGGTTTAGGGTTTAGGGTTTAGGGTTTAGGGTTTAGGGTTTAGGGTTTAGGGTTTAGGGTTTAGGGTTTAGGGTTTAGGGTTTAGATCCCATTGCCCCGAGGGAGTGGGGGCCTGGGACACCCCAAAAGCGTCAGAGGTTTAGGGTTTTAGGGTTTCGGGTTTAGGGTTTAAGGTTCCGGGTGTAAGGTTGAATGCGGGCTTCTGGTCCTTAAGTTCTAGAGGCTCATGACATCTCTTTGGTCACATTGGTGTGTGCTTAGAAACTCGCTACCATCCACGTTGGATGTGCGGAAAGGCGCGTGGTGTGACTCGCATGTCTCAAAGTAAGATTAAGGATGCCCACAAGGGTTGTAGGTTTTAGGGTTTAGGGTTTAGGGTTTAGGGTTTAGGAACTTATTGACGGCATACCCCGTTTAGGGTTTCGAGCGCCACCAAGATTGCCTCATCCCTGAACCCTACACCCGCAGAACCATTTGGAGCCCGGAAGCCCCTAAGCCCTACAACCTAAACCGGATTCAAGGCAAGGTCGTCATTGTCCCCTGAACCCCTGAACCCCTGAACTCCCAAACTGTTCAGCCCCTAAACCTTCGCTAAACCCCTAAACTTTCCCTAAACCCCAAACCCCTAAACCTTCGCTAAACCCCTAGAAGCCCTAAAGCCTCTGAAACCCCTAAAGCCCGCAAACCCCCAAAACCCCTAAAACCCCTGAGCCCGTTGAGACCTCTGCCCGCCCAATCGGCCGGATGCCTTGTACTTGTTGAGGGAGATGAAGTACGGATGTGTCCACTCCTGCTTGAGTCCCATGTGAAGCCTAACGCTGAACCCTAAACTCTAAACCTAAAACCCAAAATCCTGCTGAGGTCTCAGGTGGTCGTTTTGGGTTGTCCAAATGGGCGCCTAGGGGATTGGATCAAGATGGTGAGTTTCAGTCTGGTGGTACAGGGACATTTGGGCAAGGCAGTTCCTCGATTTCTGGAAACAGCCAGAAACGGAGGCTCATGGTGCAGCCAACGTACCGCTTCGCTAGGCACTTCGTATTCTGGTGCTGGTCTAGACATGGGTGCCAATGTACCACCGGACTTCGGTCGCGACACCAGGTAAACACCCTAAACCCTAAACCCTAAACCCTAAACCCTAAACCCTAAACCCTAAACCCGAAAACACATTGACAGGCGCCAAGAAGTTGAAGCTGGGCAAACCCTAAACCCTGAACCCCTTGGTGTTCAGAGCTGGCCGTCCGCCCCTGAATCTGAACACGCCCGACAGGAACGCGAGCTGAGGCTTGCTGCCCGTAGGGTTCATAGGGTTCATAGGGAGTTTACAGGGTTTATGGGGCTCATAGGGTTTGTAGGGTTAATAGGGTTCATAGGGTTTGTAGGGTTTAAAGGGTTCATAGGGTTCATAGGGTTTATGGGCTTCATAGGGATAGGGTTGAGGTGTGTAGGGTTCACAGGGCTTATGGGGGTTTACGGGTGGACTGGGGTGGACTGGGGTGGCAGTCCCGGGTCCCTGAAAGGGCAGCTGGACTGCGAGGTGGTGGAGACGACAACGCCCTGCACAAACCCAATCTGAATCCTAAACCCCAAACCCTAACCCCTAAACCCCAAACCCCAAACCCTAAACCCTAAACCCGAAACCCCTTCAAAAACACCCCCAACGCGGTCCGCATAGAGGAAGTTGAGGGTCTTCCTCTCCTCTGCGGTGAAGATGGGAACCTCGGCTGCCCCTTTGAGGGCTTAGGGTGTTTAGGGTTTAGGGTTTAGGGTTTAGGGTTTAGGGTTTAGGGTTTAGGGTTTAGGGTTTAGGGTTTAGGGTTTAGGGTTTAGGGTTTTAGCGTTTTAGGGTTTAGGGCCTAGGGTCTAGGGTCCAGGGTTCAGGGTTCAGGAAGGTTTAGACCCCCACAGCAAGTACCTTGCAAGACGAGCTTGACCGTCCCCCAATTCCAACCCAGCTGATGCTGATGATGCTCGCCGACGTGGCTTCCCCCGACGCCCAGAAAGCACCTCCAACGCCCAACAGCACTCAGAAAATTGAATTTAAGCACCAAACTCTTGGGGATATTATACCCTAAACCCTAAACCCTAAACCCTAGACCCTAAACCCTAAACCCTAAGCCCTAAACCCTAGACCCTAAACCTAAACCCTAAACCCTAACCCTGAACCCCCAAAACCTCCACACATAGGCACCTGGTTCCGAGGTCCCAGCTGGATCCCTTTCGCACCACGTGGCAACTACCATATTGCCTCAGCTCAGTGGGCCTAAAGCCCTAAAAGGGTAAGATAGGGTTTAGGTGGGGGTTTCCGAAAAGGGGGGGGGGGGGTACCCTTTTGGGGGCTTTTTTTAGGGGATCTGTAGTATTTGGGGGTATATAAGGGGCACCCCCCATTTTCGGAAATCCCTATGTAAGGGTTCAGGGTTTGGAGTTTCGGGCCTCGTTGGGAGGCCAAAACAAGGCAAAAAACCCTTTGACCCTTAGCCCTAAACCCTAAACCCTAAACCCTTGGACCCTTGCAGGTTTTGAGATTTACCCTTCTGACGCGGACCTCTGAACCTCCAATCACATGGGAGCTGGCAATTTACATAGAGACAAACTAACCATGCAGGGATCACACTGTATCATAAGCTTAGGGTTCAGTGGCTAGTGGTTTAGGGTTTAGGGCTTAGGGTTTAGGGTTTAGGGTTCAGGGTTCAGGGTTCAGGGTTCAGGGTTCAGGGTTCAGGGTTCAGGGTTCAGGGTTCAGGGTTCAGGGTTTAGGGTTTAGGGTTTAGGGTTTAGGGTTTAGGGTTTAGGGTTTAGTATACCCCAAGAAAAATCACGTACTGGAGTCTCGGCGTCTGCAGATTCTGGCTAGCGTAGGCATGGCAAGGAAGAGCTTGATCGCTTCGGGCCGTCTGCTGGAAGCTCTGAACCCTGAACCATTTAGGGTTTAAGGTTTAGGGTTTAGGGTTTAGGGTTTAGGGTACGGGGTACGGGGGGCAACCAAAGGGGGAGAGGGATCAACCCCAAAGACCGCCCTGAACTTATATTCCCCAGATCGACCAGCACAACAAACACAGAACACGGACCAGGAGAACCAGGGAAGGGAGTAAAGGGGGCCTATGCCTAAGCACCTAGGAACCAACCCCAACCCCAACCATGCGGGCTCTACCTTTTTTGAGCTTGTGGCCTTAGTACTTCTGGCCATCCTTGAGCCAAACAAGATTTCCGGGTTTGTTAACCCTTCCAACTCCCAACACTAACCTTTTCTACAATACCAGCTGCAGCTCCGCACTCCCCCTGTCCTAGGATTTCCTAGGACACATTGGAGGTGCAGATCTTTGGCCAAAAACTGCCATTAAGGCAGCAGCCAGCTGCTTGAAATGCACAATATGGTTTTACGTCTTCCAGGACGAAATTATAGCACATTGGCTAAATCCCCTAACCATAGAGAATCTTTCTTCCACCGTGATCCTCTTATCCTTGAAGACTCTTCGGCCTTCTTCACCACAAACCGTGGTCTTCGCTACGCGAAAAACTACTGACTTCTACTATCAGGGATTTCCATACCCTTAATAGTAACCACCACATTTTCAGCACATTGGCCGATCCAGCGCACCTGTCTCCAGAAAGAGAAAAACCATCCCTTCATCCATACCATCCAGTCACTTCTTTTTCCGATGGTTTGCAATACTGAGGTGAAGTTGCAGCAGAATATACTCCAGGTCCGAAACTGCAAGAACAGGATCCTGCACGCACCTTTGAGGATACCAATCCTTCTCTCTTTGCGTCCTCAATCGCTTGGCAAGATTGACCCAGCTCTGCACTCACAGCGGTAGACGCTTGCGCATCCACATCAGAGGGACGATCCTTTTCCTCAGGACCTTTCACCACCACCACTTCTTCCTTTTTGGGGCTCTGACTTTTCTCCTTCTTCTTCGCCTTTCCACCGACGTTTGACTTTGTGCGCATTTTCGAGGCCTTTTCCCCTGCAGGAACCACCGCATTGGATGATGATCCACCCTTCTCAATGGTCGCCGGCATCTTCTTCGGCTTTGGAACCAGGAGAGTGTAAGGATCTTCGATAACTGCAGTTTTCCTCTTCTTTTTAACCTTTTTTTACCTCCTCCTCAACGGCAACCTCCGTCTCAGAAGTCTCAACCACCTCCTTTTCGGCAGGAATATCCTTGCTGGACTCCCTTTCTAGGGACCTCTTCTTGCCCCTTTTGGAATCTTTTTCTTCTCCCACGTTGGCTCGCTCGAACCATATCCTCAGGTCATTGACCCATTCTTCCACCTCCGCGAGCGAAACCTCATACGACTTCACTACTTCGTGAAGTTCCAGCACGGACAGCATACCAGTGGTCCACGAAACCCATTCTCTATCCATCTGGTCAGTATCTCCATTGAACTTCAGGAGTTTGAACAGTGGGTCCGCCTCTGCTCGAGCCAAATCTGTTTTGCCATTGGACAGAAATGAAATCGCCTCCATCAACAGTTCCGCCATTTTGGTATCATCGTCATAAGTCATGGAATACTCCTCACCATCATCGAACTGTTCAGGAGAGATCTCCTTTTCCCCACCTTTTGCACCAGAACTTCTCCTTGGACCATCCCTTGGGGGCGTCCTTGGAGACCTTGGCCTCTGTTCATCCAGCGGATCACCATGCTCAAAAACACACCTGTCACCATAACGACACTTCCCAGACTGAGCAAACTGGATGCACCTCACACCAGTTGCATCATGCGAGAACGCACACTTCTTTCCAGCGAAACAGGGTCTCCCCGCCACATAGTATTTACACCAATACGAATGCAGCACCACATCATCTTCTGAATGGATGAATTTGCAGTCTTCACCAAATTTGCAGCGATCTTTTCCCTTACTGAACCAATAGCAGAAGCCTTTCTTCCTCTTCTCCAAGCGCTCCGCCTCGTACCGGTCCATAGGGCGATTCTGCTCTACATGAACATTGCCATGTGCCTGAGAACTGCTCCCTTCACCCAAGGTGCTATCAGTACTTGATGCTTGGAGTACAGCTGGAAAACCTGGCCTTGGTCCTACCACCTTCATGATTGGTTTTCCGCCAGCTCCTGAGCCACGCTGAGACGATCCAAAAACATTGAACTTCTTCATGAAGGCCTTCCTAGTGCCGATCTTCTGCACCCTTTTGATTGGATGTTTCATTGCTCCAACCTTGCATCCAGATACGTTTAAACGACACAACCTCCTATACCCAGCTCTATATCCCTTTTTCCAAAGAGCCATAAGAATTTTAGAGGCAGTAACATTCTCCACCTCTACCTTTTCCAACGGTCCCTCACTTCCCGGAACAAACCCATCCAACCCATCCATATCTGAAGACCTTTCCATCTTTTTTGACACCACTTCGTCGAGGTAGTCTTCAGAGATCCAGGGTAAGTTCCTCTTAGAGGAAGGATTGTCACCATTGTTTGGTCCTTCACCAGGATACCCCTTTGTGCTGTCAAAGATCTTACCAGTAGTGCGGTCCTGCGTAGAGAAATTGGAAGCAACGCGAGAGTACACTGACCACAAGAAAATCCTTGTGCCCGCCAGTCTTGACGACCCACTGGATGTCTCCTCTTCCGGAGAAACTTCTGGCGCTTTGCCATCCCTTCCAGTGTCACCAATTGTCTCACCTCCAGCATCTTCAATGGGAATAAGGGATTCATTGTTCCCTTGACCAAGTACCGCATCTTGTTGATCGGGGATCTGCAGCACCATTCCTGTAGGATCCACTTCCTCATCAGCATCGTCGTCCTTTCTTTTCCAGAGAACCTCCAATTGATCAGCGCAGGTCGCCGCCTGAAGGAACTCCATCATTTGGTCCCTCCCGTGCTGCCAGAGAAATTCGGAATTCACCACTGTCCCTTGGCCTCCTAATCTAAGGAATGGAGCGACCAGATTGGCGACCCTTGCCATAAGTTCCACATGAACTTCCATGCCTGGACTGCGACTCCAATCATAGGCTATTGCCTCCATAGCAGTTCCAAACTTTTCAGTATTTCTGAATTCCTTTTCTAGGCCAGGAGAAAGCAGCGCACCCATCACCGAAAGAGGATAATTTCCCACCACCGGCAAGCACGGATCTTCATGGAACGAATGATGCAAATCTCCGTAGTGTCCTTGATCTCTCCTTTCAAAAAGGAGTCTCCCAGTGTTCAACTGGGCATTCAGTTCATCCACTTGAACCATTTCAGCACATATTCTCTGTGCCGCAGTCGCTATTGCCGGCCAGATAGCACGATCTGCCAACCCACGACGCGTAACCCAAATAGTTGTTGCCGACTGAATCAGTGTACCAGGGTCATATGCCATGACCACCAATGCACCATCATCCATTTTCTGATCAGCATCATCTTCCAGTGCCAGGTTCAAATCCTGTTCGCTTGCACCTTCAGATGACATGCTAATAACCAAATTTCGATCCATTTTATTGGACCCCTTCTGATAGTCCTTGTGCCCCACAGGCAACTTGCCGACAGCAACCTTCCAATAAATCCGATTCAGAAGACCTTTAACCAGCAATTGCTGAGGAACATTCTTCACCGGACGAACATCCAATGTCTTCGCACCATCACCACGGAGTTCATTGCTCCCACCTTCTCCTTCGTTTTGGTCAGTCTCCTCGCCAGGAATTTGCACTGCTCCTTCCAGCGCCGTCTCCTGTCCAGCCACTTCTTGCCCAGGAAGAACTTGAGCGCCTTCAGATACATTCACCTGTCCAGCAACACCTTGCCCAGGTAAAACCTCATCCGTGGAGCCCACCGCCAGCGAACCAACTATAACTGAACCATCCCTTGCTCTTTTTTGAGACTGTTCAGTTCGACGAGAGGGTTGTGGTAGCGAAAAAACTTGAGAAGTCACTTCTTGGCGGGTCTCCCCCCGCGACGCTTTGTCGCGTTCTTCGCCAAGGTGAACCGATTTTTTCTGCCCTTCATTGGGGCCGGAAGAACCACCCATCGGAACATTGCCACGATTCGCAGTTCTCCGTGAATCCCTTTCTTGCAAAAAGATTTCCCTCATGCGTTGCACAGCATTGGTCTCTTCCTCGCTTGAATCGCTTGAGGAAGCGGCATAAGAAACCAAAGCCTCCGCCTGATCATCATCATCCACCACATCTGCCCACGCTCTGCTGAACCGATACGACAACCCACCACGAGGCTTCAGTTCCAGTGGTTTTGGTTTTTCCACCACTTCCGCCGGTTGTGCTCGTCGTTGTGAACGAGAGCGTGGCACCTGTC